AGAGCTACCGATCCGCGACCTTCCGTTGCCGATCTTTCATTGCACCAACCCATTTACGACTAGCTAATTGGCTTTAATATCAAAATACTCGCCGCTGCTTCGAGAAAATCATCTATCTCGGATGTTCTCCGTAGTGAATTTCAAATCTATAACTCGGACAACTCGGGGGATTAATGCTAAGCGTAGCGACGATTTTGCCAAATTATTTTATAATAAATGTATAATTAATGTCGCTGGATCGTGAACGTAATGAAGAGCTTCTTGTAAAACCCAAGATTTAGCCGTTATCAATGTCGAGGGTGATTAGCTGGTACGGGGGATAGGGGGTAGGGTAGTAGGGGAGGCTCTCCGCGATCCGTGAATGAGGTTGTTCAGTATATATTTATATATATACGGGGGGGGGGGGGGGGGATCAAGCGCAGGACGGAAATCTCATTAACGAGCGGTCGACGTTAACGTAATTGTCAATGTAAATGTCGCGTGCGTAGCGGTTCAACCTGTGTTCGCGCGCGACAACGAACGCGTCGTTATCTCGTTGGAACGTCGTGCCCGTGGAACTCGCGCCGGCCACGCTTCGTCCGCACCGTATCTCGGACACGGTCGAGCTGTTCCACTCGCGTGATTCGGTGACGTATCGTCGATGGGAGTCGAGTCTCCGAGGTCACCCTCCGGCCGCTCCGGCCATTCGCTTTCGCTTAGTGTCGCGGCTACATCGAGTACGGTGGATGGGGGCCGATGAACTTTGCCGGGGGAAGCACCCGTGGGTAGGGGATCTCAATCTTTGGAAGTGGCGGAGCAGGCGCCGAATGAATAACGAAGCTCTGATTTTAAATGGTCAGTCGCGGCTTTAGCGCACCGTATAGTGCGGATGAGCTTGGTTAAGCATGAAATTACGGGAATTACTGTCCCAAAAAAGCGATGCAATTTTCGCTCGGGCAGTCTCTAATCAATCGTAATCAATCGTTAATTAACGACACGCAAGACAACGCGCGTTTCTTGACTTGCATTATCATTTATCGGCTCTCCTCTCAATTCAATAAGCACAAGCGATGACTTATTTTACACTTTCGTAAGATCGACGGCTACCGGAGAATAAATCAAACAATGTTTTCACAAAAAACGACTTTTTCCCTGTTTTAAATTATAAGGAATAACGATCATGATAGTCTCTCAACTCAATAGGACTTTTAGCCATTGATTTTGGCCAGTTGAGCTAGAGATCGCACGTGGCGAGTACGAGCGTTACATAATAGTCATTGTAAAGAGTCAAAGTCCATCGTTATAATGGGAAATGTTGTATGAAAGCGTCGGGAGAGAGTAGTCGAGTTTATCGAAAGATTAGAAATGCCGCGCAGAGCGAATGGAGAAACGATGGTTGTAACAAGGCGACACAAGGCGACACATCGGACGTTGGATCGCGCGTTAAATTGATTTTGGACGATTTAGGGCTTGGAGTTTGGCTAAATCTTAAGGAATCTTATGCAAGAGTCCTTTATTTTTATTTCACCAATCCCCTTAACAACTATTTCAGGATCTTTATTTATTATTATTTTTTCTTTTCTTTCCTTTCTCGTTTTTTGCCTCGATATTTATGTAATTATTAAATGGGCATTATATTATAAGAGTGAAGTTTGCAAGTGTGCATGCCGAATAAGAGACAACGAAGCGAAGATTGTGAATGAACTTGATTCGAGAATGACAATAATCCAGTGGCTTATCTATTTTTCGACTTGGGACAAATATTGTAAGATAGATGACTCGTTAAGAGCGGATTATCGTACGAATTGGCTGGGGAAAGAGATCGCGTAGCTCTCTTGGCGACTCTTGGAGCGCGTTAGGATGACGAGCGGGTCTCTTTCGCGCCATTAGCGACCAGTTAAGCGGGGAGTTCGAGTGCTCGAGGAGCGCCGAAGATGGAGGTGTCGAAGCAGGCGTGCGTTGAAGACGGAGGAAGGGGCTCGTGCCAGAGTACGCGAGGATGGACGAGTCGAGTGCCGCATGAGGTGCCGCCGAGGATCAGTAGGCGAAGAGGCCCGGGTCGTCCTCCTCCTGGACGGACCTCTCCTGCCTGGGCTAGCTGCTCGATCCGAAGAAGCCGAGGATTTTGAGGGTCGCGGTGACCCTCGCGACGAGCTTGTCCTTGTAGCGCCATATGGTCGGGTCGAGGACACTATTCTCCCGGTACTCGACGCAGGTCTTCTTCAGCGACTTGACGCAATCGGCTCTGTAGTGCTGCAGCTGGGCGTCCTCAGTATCGATGGGGTAGCTCGTGCAGCCGGCTCCGAGGCACGCCAGCGGGAAGTGGTTGTGCAGCGTCACCACGCGCTCCGGATTGTGGAAGCACTTGATGTACTGGTTTGGCTTCGTGAAGTTTTTCGAGCGATAGACGTGCTGCAACATGTGCATGTACCTGCAGGATCAAAGAGGAGACACGTGTCACATAACGAAACCACTGATAAATTCACCTTTCCCTCAAAATTATTAAAGCTCGCGCCTCCTACGAGCATATAAACGCTCGTGCGCCATTCCATTAGCGAATCCCATCGCTCCATTCCCCCCCCCCCCCCCCCCCCCCCCCCCCCCCCCCCCCCCCCCCCCCCCCCCCCCCCCCCCCCCCCCCCCCCCCCCCCCCCCCCCCCCCCCCCCCCCCCCCCCCCCCCCCCCCCCCCCCCCCCCCCCCCCCCCCCCCCCCCCCCCCCCCCCCCCCCCCCCCCCCCCCCCCCCCCCCCCCCCCCCCCCCCCCCCCCCCCCCCCCCCCCCCCCCCCCCCCCCCCCCCCCCCCCCCCCCCCCCCCCCCCCCCCCCCCCCCCCCCCCCCCCCCCCCCCCCCCCCCCCCCCCCCCCCCCCCCCCCCCCCCCCCCCCCCCCCCCCCCCCCCCCCCCCCCCCCCCCCCCCCCCCCCCCCCCCCCCCCCCCCCCCCCCCCCCCCCCCCCCCCCCCCCCCCCCCCCCCCCCCCCCCCCCCCCCCCCCCCCCCCCCCCCCCCCCCCCCCCCCCCCCCCCCCCCCCCCCCCCCCCCCCCCCCCCCCCCCCCCCCCCCCCCCCCCCCCCCCCCCCCCCCCCCCCCCCCCCCCCCCCCCCCCCCCGCCACTCTGCCCCTAACCCCACCAGGCCACCCACTAAGCCTCTACCGCGTCTATTATTAATTTAGACAATCATACGCAGACTTTCGTTATAATATAGGACTCGTATATTTATTTATTTATTTATTTATTTATTTATTTTTTTTTCCACGGTATTCCACCACACTGTTGATGTCTTATAATTCGCTGGCAATTTCTTGGCATATACTTGGCAAGGTACTCGAGAAATTCCGGAACCCTAGGCGCTTCCATTGCCAATGCTTACTTATTTCAAAATTTGGCAAATTTCATTAATAATTTATCAGCTCGAATAGCTTTACTCGATTCCATCACGTTAAACTAAGTGTGGCCGGTTAAGATTTCAATTATACCGCACTACTATTATCACCGCACCGGCGATTATATAATTTTAATGTCATTAGTTATGGCCGAATCGAGAAGAAATAGCCAAATATATGGCCTTTTAAATGTGTATTCGCATAATCACGTAAGAAGAAAAGTAGGGGTAGAAGGGCAAAGGACACGCATTACAAAGTACTCCGAATGCATGTAAACTGCTTAATTATCAAACTCAAGCTGTTAAAATGAAGTATAGCGGGTTGATTTAAATCTTAATATGCATGTAAATCCATTCTCCTTGCATATCTGATTAAAATAGAAAGGAATTTAAATTTAATAAATTATCCGAATTTTTGTCGCTGCGGGCGAATATTTACTCCAACTGATATTGTACTCACTCGTTAATGTATTTTAATGGATGAATTTATCCATCCATTCTTATACGTATATCATGATTAACGACGACAAATACAAAACAAGAAAAAAATAGCACATTACGTTCTTCCACTCCTAGTTTAATCTAAGAGTATTAACGTTACGTTGCATTATGTATTTGCATTGAATTGCGAGTGTCGAAAAAAATGTTGAATAGAAACGAACGGCACTCGCATTATACATATCGATATAAGTGTTTGAATATTGTGAGAATATTTTTCACATAAAATTGTAAATAAAAATTGTAAATAAACTTAATAAATATATTTCATTATTAACGACATTGTCGATAGCAACGACTGTGGTGGAAATACCGTAGTACAGGGACGTGCATGAAATAATCAAATGCCGGTTTATGTCGCGACGAGGACCTTTGGACAAAAATATTTTTAACAAACGTAATTGCTTATGGACATTAAATAATACGCGTCCATTGGTTTATTTTTTCCTCCCTTTCTTCATTTTGTTTCTTTATTTAGTTCGTTCGTTCGTTGGTTCGTTGGTTCGTTCGAGCAAGCTTGTGAGCGAGTGAGCGGGAGAGGAGAAAGGGGAGGTCAGAAAGGAGAGAGGGAGGAGGCAGGGAGGGATAGAGAGAGAAAGAAAGAGAGAGAGAGAGAGAGAGAGAGAGAGGGAAAAAGGGAAGAAAAAAACAAAACAAAACAAAATAAAAAAGAATCCGGCAAAAGTTCGTTAATCATAAGACAGGGGGCGCGAGCTGTCAGGGCAACGACTCTGCGGTGTCAAGTTTGTCGTCGAGCTGGTGTCGGTCGCGCGCCCGAGGACACTCGTGTAGCGAGAATCCTTGCTAACCATTGAAAACGACAATGAAAAGTGTGCGGAGGCAGAAACGCCAGAAACGCGCGCTTGCTCGATTATGCCGAGGATACCATTATTAAATTTAACCGGTGGCTCTTGTGTGCGCGAGCAGTCGCAAAATTCGACGCCCTAAGCAACAATAGAGCCGTCCAGCACGTTCTGCAGTAACTTTTAAATGGGCTAAATAAATGTTGTAGTTGCTGTTAAGAATCGAGTGCTGCTGCGGCCGGGGCGAATGTCAATTATATATATATATATTTTTTAATGAATATATTTGAGAAAATGTGTGAGTTTTGCGCGATCGTTCGAGACGTGGTTCGCATATAATATGAGGATAACGAAAGCCGACGGATAGGATGCGAACAATCGATGTAACGGATAAATAAAGCGGAGCTCGCGTTATCACGTGATTGTTGGTTAATAGGAGACGGGGAGGAGGCCCGAGGCCGATCACCCACGAGAGTGCCACGATAGGGTATGAGCGAGCTCGAAGGACGCGAGAGACGGAGTAGGAACGATCGATACTTGGGTATGTCCTTGAAAGTGCCGTGGGTGTGGAGGAGATCGTCGAGGAAGTAGACGTTCCTAACGTTGTACGATGCCCTGGTCTCGTTGCGCAGCCTCATTGCCTTGGGGACGACGCGTCGCATAAGCTCCTGCCAGGTGGCGTCCTGGACCGGCATTATGACCTCGTCGACGTCCAGGAGGGCGATGTACTCGTACTCGTACATGTGCTTGTAGAGGCAGTCGTTGTAGGGTATGAGCTCGTTCTGGCGCTTGTGGTTGGTCTTCTTGGTGAGGTACATGTGCTGGAAGGCCGGTACGTTAGGCTGTCCACCGGGTAGCGTGAGGGGTGTTACGTGAACGCGGCCGAGCCGCTGATAGTGACCGAGGACCTTGGTGACGTTCGGATGTACCTGGAGCTCGTAGAAGAATATCTTGTCGGCGCCGAGGAGGCCGATGAGCTCGATCCACTCGACGAGACGTACGGAGAGATCCTCGTGGAGGAAGTCGAGGCCCTTAACGCAAACGGCGAACTGCTTCTTGGTCGCGGGCTTGTTGTAGGTGACACGGAGATTGTTGCTCGCCGTGTCGCAGCGCTTCTCGACGAGGGAGACGGAGGCGGGTGGGCCCCTGCGCCAATGGCTCTGCGGCACCTTGCACGCAATCACGTACGGCTGGTAGATGCCCTGCTTATAATTACCCCACTTGGAGTACCAGATATACTTGTACTCGAGGACCTCGACAACTCGGGGCTCGCGCTCACCCTCGAACCACATCTGGCAGTAGCTCTTGAGGGTCGGCTCGATCCGATCGATCATGCCGACGATGCGAATCGCGGGCCCGATCCTCGAGAGCTTGCGCTCGTCGTAAAAGGCGCCGAAGAGCTGGAAGGTGCCGTTGCTGCTGCGCATCGTCTGCCAATAAATGTTATTGAACTCGAGCTCGAAGATGCTCGGGTACTTGGGGATGCAGCCTGGGAGCTCGGGGCCCCCGGATTTGGCCGCGGTCTGCTTGCCGTTGCGCGTCCAGTAAGCCAGTGGCAGACTCGGGAGCCGCTCCTCGATCTCGCGGATGAGCTCGTCCTCGCTGCGGGCTGGTCGACGATCGAGCAGGGGCTCGAGCTCCTCCGGCAGGGACGCCGTGGCTACGAGGGTCGTCGCCGGGGATGCCGGCTGCTCTCGCTGGGAGGACGTCTGCCGCTGGAGTAGGAAGCGCGAGGCAGCGAGACTCTGGAGCCGTGGCCGCGCCGGCACTTGTCCGAGCTCCTCCACAGTCGGATTAAGGACGAGGCTGCCCTGGCCCGAGTGTCGGAATTGCACGGTCGCGATCATGAGGAGGCCCCAGCCGAGGAGGACCACGAGAGCCCTTCGGGCGCATCTCGAGCCCCCGGCTGCGCAGCTCTGCAGCATCGCCTGGCCCGTGGAGGGGGCCTGCGGGTAGGGCCCGTAGTTAGCCGCTCGCTAGCTGCGCCTACAACAGATTCAAGTTTCATCGTTTAGTACGGGGTCATCGAGTCCGGGATTATCGAGTCGACGACATCGTGGCCAACCTCGAGCCCTATACCATTATCGAGGGCGCAATATTGCGCTTTCTCACTTCTACATAAGCAATCGTAGGTCACTTAGCATCGTCGATGCTTGAGCCGTACTTTGGATTAGCCTGGGCTCCTCCGCCGCCGCTCCATATCTTGGCAACCGCGGCGTTTTAACAATTTTTCGGTATGTGTTGGTGCTTGGAAGTAATATACGAGTGCATTTATAATTCAAGTATTGCGGTTGCGCGAGCTCATGAATGGCACAGTGGCAATTGTATTTAACAATGTCTGTCGCATTTCAAAAGAGCAAAGCTAGCCTGCCTGGCAATGCGAAATGCAATTTTTCAGGTCAAGATGGTGAATGAGAAAATTCCAGGATACTCGGACGCCAACAAAGCCACATTACGATGCCAAAAATGCATTTATATCACGACGCAATATCACTATTTATGAGTATTATTGTTAATTTCTGGCTTAGAATCACGTCACGGCCAAACAAAGCCCGAGTGACCACGTTTGCTGCATTGTGTACGTATTATCATTCTATCGATCTTCCGACCTTTATCTGACAGTCAATACTTTTGCACTTCTCTGTTGGGATTCCGATTGATCGAAAGCTTACGCTCAAGCTTTTCAGGTTTTATTTTATTTTTTTTTGTTTTTCAAAAAGTAGTCCACTTAATTAATATCAAAGACGCTTTAAGATAATGAAAGATAATGAAATGAAACAATGTTTTATAGCGATCTTTTTCTATTCTTAATTGTATATTTAATAGATTTGGGACTACCGAACCTTATTCAATTATTGCCGATTGAAATACATTACCGTATGTGTTGCGTTTAAGTTAAATAAATTGGCGTACATGCATCAAACAGGAAATTAGCTTAATAGTTTAACGAAACTTCCTTTTGACTATACAAATCTCGCGTATGTCTACTATATGCAATGAGATGTGTTTCATTCCTTTAGTTTTTCAACTAAAAGCAAGCGATGAAAATTTTTTCAATGTAGTAGTGCGATTTATTGTGTATGGCTTAATGTTTGGATAAATTTGCCCGATAGATGTTAAAATTTAAGATACGCGTTTAGAAGAAGTTAATACGCATGACCACTTTTTTCCCTTTTTTTTTTTTTAAATTCATGAATCAGCGCATATTGCATAAGAAATGTTAAACTAATAGTGCAGTTAAATGATAGTTGACAGCTAATTTGGTATATATTATTATTTACTTTTGTGCGTTTTCACTCCGTTTCAAACATTTACAGAGGTTTTAGAATTACAATACATAAATCTCACGTTATTTTACAGAAAATACTATCAACGCTTTTATATTAACATACCGTAGAAAAGAATTTTTTTGAAAATGTTAAACTATTTAATTAAATTAAGCAATTATTCGGCAGATTTGGAGCTATTGAGAATAGTTTACGATACAGTTGGTTCAATCGAAACGATTGTATTAATTATGCACACGATTAATCGATAATAATTAATGCATAGATTTCCCATGTTATTATAGTTGCAAATTATAAAAAAAAAAAAAAAAAAAAAAAAAAAAAAAAAAAACCCAAGACAACAAACTAAAACAAAAACAAAAGAAAACCTCCACAGACTTAATGTAAAATAAAAATAATGAAATGAATTTATGATAAAGTTAATAAACATAAAAACATTTTGTTAAAGAGAATGAAGAATAATAGTTTCAATGCAAGTAAATAGCTTTGGTAGCGTAATACGAAAGTACAGGAAAGTGTGCTAAAGGAAAAAGAAGAGGTCGAAAAAGTTAATGAAGTATGCCATATAGATGCATATACACACTTCACTTTACGAAACTCATTTGGGTAAAAAAAAAAAAAGAAAAAAAAAAAGAAAATAAAGAAGAAAAAAAAAAAGGAAGAAAGAAAGAAAAAAAAGTGAGGAAAGAAATTTGTATGAAATAATGTATAGGAGGAAAAATTTTAAATTAAAAAGAAAATTTTTAAATGGAATGTGCGTGCGTGCGCGTGTGGCATCCTTTAATAAAGTGCGATGCGGCTATCAAATGTAAATAAGTAAATGAAAAAGTTATTATAATATATTGTATGGATACACTTTTGTTAAAATAAGAATTATTGTGTATTTGTCATCTCGTGAAAATTCTTTTGATAAACGCACTACTGTCTGCTTTCAAGATGTATCCTGTAAATTCGACTAATATTTCGTGGTAAATTTCCTGTGTCTGATAAGCTTATCTCATTGTCAATGAGAGAACGACCGAGAACAATCTGTAAGGCAAATTCAAAGTAAAAATTCGAACGAAGACTGAATTCAGGTCAGAAACATACATAAATACGAATATTTCAGAGCAATCGTCACTGGCAATAATCAGAATAATTTTTTTTTTCCTTTTTCTTTTATATTTAAAAGGTATGTTAATGGCTGAGCAATCGTTTTATCGAACAATTTCTTGCTCAAGATCAATTTTAAATAAAAAATAAAGCAAGGATACAACAAAAATAAAAGCCAAAGTGCGAAACGTTTATGGGTTGAACGTTAAGATATCTTTTACGTTTTTCGACTTTTCTTGATTTCAACAATTAGGAAGTGAATTTTTTTTTTTTTTTCTTTTTTTTTTTTTACATTCTCTTGAATAGATATAATTTCTAAATGTAAATTGTTTTATAAATTATGAAACTGGCGTACAAAAAAATGACAACTTTTTAAGTTTAAAGTAAATTTTCAATGAATCGATTGTCAAAATCTCGGGATTAACATAGTTTTATAATAAAATAAAATTCCGAAGATTGTCAGAGATTTGTCACAGTTAGATTATACGACACATTTTCTTTTACTTTATACGTTAAAAAATGTTCTCAAATGCACGCGAACTCACTTTTAAAAGTTTTTACGAGGACAAGGATAATGAAAAAAAGTTTTGAAAGAAATGTATTTGAAGTTTTGATTTAGAATGTAATAAGTATGTGTCAGATCTTACCTTCTCTGATGCCAAATCAAGAATTTCAAGAATTTCAATAATTTCGATAAACACTAAGCGGTTATTTTTTCGTAAGCAGAATTTCCTACCGAAAATTCTAATAAAAAGTCAATTTCACGAATGCCTAGTTTACTCGGGTTAAGTTATTAGCCAAAAACAATTCACAGCCATCGTTCGGCTCTCATTTTATGCTTTACATTATTATAAAACCGTGGAGATGTAAGTGCTTTTTCAATATTTCATGTATAATATTGAGATTGTACAATTAATCGAAATCCCGTGGATTTGTAATGAAATTTTCTATTCAATATGTCAGACGCTCATGACTAAAAGAAATGCCGAGTCGATTTTCATATTCAGCGAAACGTTCATTTGCCTCGATAATTTTCAGAAAAGTAATTTCACTTAATATATTTGTGATAATGTATTTGTGATTATTTATCTCGAAGCGAATGGTTGCCTTCCGTTTCATACACTTCATTCAAGCGAATTTCAATACATTTATCGAAAAACTTGAATCTCTTCCCTAAATATCTCGGCGATAGAAATTATTTTCAGTTATAATATATTCAAAGTTTTATTGTGCAAAGTTTCAATGATAAATTTATATTTAAAAAAAAAAAAAAAAAAAAAAAAAAAAAAAAAAAAAAAAAAAAAAAAAAAAAACTGGCATTACGTATTAAACTACTTATCAGACTACCATTAAATATAAGTATTTTACTTTGAAAATGCACTTAAATTGAAAAGTAGTCGAATAATATTACGCGTATTATTTTAATAAGAGAAGCCATGGAATTTAAGAGCCCCTCTAATTAATTTATTCCATTATGTATAAGTAATTTCTATTTATATGAATTATCTACATTTACGCACGTATAGTTTTTATCTATGTCAATATTTTGTAATAGTAGCAGCGACTCTTTTTTACAATGTCCGTGTGATCAAAGAGCTGTTTTTTAATATTAGTTTTTTTTCTTTCTAAAGAGTTTTATTTATATTCTTAAAATTATCACAACATTTGTATATAACAATTTACACGAGCGGCAATCGATCGATAAAAGGGAATAAAAAGAACAAATACAGGAAAAACAATGACATACGCGTATTCCTTTAGTTATATTTGTTATTTATAATTTTGTCCGTTAGTTGTTTGTATACATTGAATTATTTGTCTATTACATCATTAAATGTCTGTAAAGTTGCGTCATATATGAAGCAGAAATTTGTTAACAAAATAATAAAATTACTGAAGGCAAAGAATATTTATCGACTTCGGTATTGCTGAGATAAAGTTAATAAAGTGGTAAAGGACAGCTTTTATGATATTGATAAGGAACTATTGTTATAAGAAACTATTCGTGAATTCATAAAAAATAGACCATCGTCACGTAGTCGAGGGACTTGCGTCTATGAAGCTGTTGCACTTAAAAATTTCTCCGCTACATTTGAAATGTTCTGCAATGAAAGTAACAACGGCCTTAGTTTTATTTTTTCCGCGGGAAGATCTTTAAATTGGTGAATCGTTTGATTTGTTATTTTCTTTAAATTTTGTAGGTATTCATAAGTGAAACGTACAGTTTGATTATAGACTATCAAATAAATTTTTTAATTTCATCAACTGCCATAAATTCATATTCCTTAAATTAAGTTTCATTTGCCCAACAGCGCTGCGTATAATTAAAAGTTAAGAGCGGATGTTAAAAAGTAAATAAGCAAATGGCCAAAAATAGAGGTAAAAAAATATTGTTTAACATAGTATATTAGTATTTTTGTAATGAAGAAAAAAGATGAAAGTTTTTTAACCCAGCGATATAAAAAAAATATTCTTTTCTAAGTAAATAAATTCTATAATATTGGAAATAGTCACGCGTAAAGACTTTTCACTTATTATTCTGTTTGACCAATAGGTCGGGAGATATTTAAATAAAAGCTGAATCTCAGCTTTCCCAGACGGTATTTT